GCAATGTTCTGACGAATCCACCGCTGATAGTGATCCTAGTGATGATCCTACCAATTTCTTAGAATTGTTTTGTTTATCAGCCTGGTCTTGTTAAGCGTTCACAAGAAATATACCTCTATAATTGCATTTCAAAACAACCCCAAATCTGTACAAAACCAGCTTCGAAGATTTTAATAATAAAGCAGCAGTGAGGCGTGTATATTAAAAAGATTAGCTTTAAACATTGGAAAAGAGCTGGTCATTCGAAACTTTGACTCATGCTGAAAGTATTTCATTTATTTAAAACGTTAGGGCTTTCTATCCCTTGACTTTATCAGATGATTTCTTTTCATGCCATGCAAGCTGAAACAACGGCATGAATATATTTTCGGAGAACGACGAGCATAACCAGGAGTACCGATACAAGGTAAAATAAGTTTTCATTTTTTTCCTTTCAAGTTTCGCTTTTATCAATAGTGATTTCGTAAAGCTTTTGACAATAAAAATAAACGGTAAAAATGAACGGTAAAACGTTCTGTTTTACCATTCATTTTAATTGTCAACACTTTTCTACTTTTTTAAGGAAAAAGCAAGAAATAAAAAAAAAAATTAATGAAGAAAGAAATTCTAAAAATCTGAAGGATGACAATGATCAGGCAGGTTCAAAATATAATTTGATTGACTAAGCTCTTTGCTTTGTGCATCGTCATCATGGGACACCATTGCCGGACAAATTATAACCGTTCCTGGTGTTTAGTGTGTTACCTAACAGGTGATATTTTCAAATCTTTTCGTGCCATCCAAATTTGTGGGAAATGGGTAAACCAACATCCAATATCTTGGAAGTAGAGAAAAAAGTAACTTCCTTGTTATGCTGTAAAACTAAAACAAATCAAAACAAATGAAACATTTGTTTTGTCGTAATAGACGGAAACAAATAAAAGAATAATCTGAAACGAACTGTTTTAGAAAAGACACCCAAACACATGCAATAAATTCGTACTCATGCGCATGAGATCTGTTGCGAAACCTTTAAGAATTTAATAGTAAGCATTCGTAATTAAGCGAGTCAAAGCAAAATTTGAGTAGCACTAGCTTTTTAGATACAAGAGCGAACAGAGAAATTAATGCTGTCATTCTGACGCAACCACATGCATCAGTCTGCTGTGGCCAAAAAAGTCATTCAGAGAATAAAATTATATTTCCAGGTATTTATGCCATTTTTACGCCATGCGTGCTCGACTGAACACAACCCTGACGTGCTACGTTTTTTCAAACGAACTCTGGAGCACTAAGTTGAACAACTGGAAAGAAGGCGCTTAATTTTGGGGGGAAGGGGGGGCACTTATTATTCATCTGTACTGAGACCGCTGTAGTTGAAGCTTATAAATTTATAAGTAAAGTGGAAATAGAGACATTTTTCCTTGTATTCCTGCTATTTAAGCAAGTTAGAGAGGAAGGGACGCTTAATCGAGGAGGGCGCTCATTTGAAATTATGGCCAATGGGGTGGGCGCTTATTTGGGGGAGGATGCCCGTTTAGAGGTTGTATTGAAACTAATTCCAAAAAATGGGAAAGCTTTAGAGAACCAAGTGCCCTTTTGTCGACTTACGTAATGTCGTTATGTATTAAACAGCTGAGAAGGAGAAACATCATTCGTGATGGTTGGACTGCTTTGATTACTGGTGATAATTGTAACAGTCCTCACATCGGCCCCGCAGGTTGGAGGTAATCGATCCAAACCAGTTCGGTGGGATACCAAAGTCATCCACCCTACACGTACTTGCTTCCATGCTAAATAACTGGACCCAAGCTACGGATGGATCTGGCGCTGCTGTGAGAGTGGTCCTATTCGATTACAGGAAGGCCTTTGATTTTATTGATCACAACCTTCTTGTGCGCAAGGTCTTTAACCTAGTTATCCCCCGGGGCATGGCCCTGTGGGTGGTAGATTTCTTGAAGCAAAGGTATCAGCGCGTAAAGGTGTCTTCGGACTGCTACTCAGAATGGGAGCCTGTCCCTGCTGATTTGCTGCAGGGCATAAAACTGGGCCTCTGGCTTTTCATCTTAATGATAAATAACCTGAGAGTTAGTGATGTACATGGGTGGAAGTATGTGGACGATACCACCATAGCCGAAATCGTGCGTAAGGGAGGCCGAAGTAACATCCAGAATTCCATCGACGGCGTCCAGGACTGGACTTATGAGCGGAATATGTAGCTCAACGCGGACAAATGCAAGGAATTGACTGTCTAGGAAAAACAACCAATCATTCGATCCTGTATAAGTAGATGGAAAGGAACTCTCTAAGGTGCAACATGCTAAGACATTAGGAGTTACAATGTCTAAAGATCTGAAATTGAACGGGCAAGTATATGAGTCGATAAGAAAAGCAAATAAGCGCTTCCGTTTCTTAGTGCTCCTTAAGAGGGCTAATGTTAGCCATCAAGACATCGTACAATTCTATTGTACAGTTATAAGGTCAGTATTGGAATACTGTACGCTTATTTTCCGCCATAGCCTTCCTGAATACCTTGGTGAAGACCTTAAGCTTGTCCAGAAAAGAGCCATGTCAATAATCGCGCCTTATCAATCGTATACATAACCCTTAGATAGCTATGGACTCAGTACTCTACGCCAAAGACACGATGATCACTGCTCTAAGCTATTGAGTGGCATAACCAATTCCAACGATCACAGTCTCGCCTTACTACTCCTCCCACGTCTCCAAGGCTCATATAGCTTGAGAAGCAAAAGAAATTTCAATCTACCAGCAATGTGCCAACGAGTACATAGCAATGTTTCGTAAACGGCAGTGCTCGTAGCCAGTAATTTGAACAGAGCACTTTAGTTATATTGAGACCCTTTGTAAATAGCCTCAGTTTTAATTGTACTATATTTATATTGTAAATAATTACTCAATTCAGCCTTTGGCTGCGACTTAGTTATTCCTTTTAAGCTATCTATCTATCTATCTATCTATCTATCTATCTATCTCTTGGAATTAACTCAGATAAAAGCATAATTTTCGAAGCTGAACACTTAAATAAGCTTCGTTCTGGGATGTACACGGAACCAGTGAAGAAAAGCTGTCATTACTTTTAAAGTCTTTAAATATGTATCGTTTTCTTTACCGATGTGAGTTCTTTGTGTGCGATCTGAGAGAATGAAGATGGTTAAAAGCAATGAAGATGGTTAAAAGCAATGAAGATGGTTAAAAGCAATGAATATGGTTTCGGGTCAGTTTTGTCTTTTACTTCAGTGAATTCCCATGTATAGCGGACTAATTGGCTTCACGGAAATTGTGATTTTGAGCTGACAAGGTTTTTTCTTTCTCAATCCTGAAACAGAAGAATACTTGAAAGAAAGCGAAAGTTGAAATACCCTAGAACAGAATTAGATTTTTTTTCTTCTTGGCATCATTAACCATAAATGTAAGCGTTAGATCGATTTTATCCGCAATTATTTCTTGTGAGATATTCGAACACGTGCACACGGCAGTTTATAACCGATTTCTAGGAAACTGATTTCCTGATGGTGTTCGTGTTATTTTTTAATGCTATATCCATTTTGTTCTTTGAGTGGATGTGATCGATTTGTACATCATACTACGATTTAAAGATCTTGAAGTAAAATGTTCTGTTCGAAAACTGAATGCTCTCTAAAGATATAATTGCTTAGCTGAGCACATCCCTTAGCCCCTGCGTTTTTTTAGGGTGCCATTGCCGGACCAGTCAGAACAAATCTTGGGTATAGTGGTTCAAATAACAGGAAATTGTGGGAAACGTCAAATTTCTAAGAAACGGGTGCTTTGAATCCTTTATTCAGGAACAGAGAAAACCATGACTGTGTTGTTTGTGCCATCCACGTATCATTTTGCGATTATAAACTACAATATACATAAAGAAAGAAAATGTCACAGTGGAAGAGACATCAAAAAAACCGACTAAATAAATACACTTTAAGCGCATAAGAGATCAAAAGCGAAACCACATAGATTCCTAGAATCTAACGAATGGCTTTCTTTAACAACCATTTCAAAACAGCGTCTGAGCAATAATAATTTTTAGACGCCATAACAAATTAACAAATCGACAGAAAAGTGAATTTAATTTCGGATCAATACATCTCCATTTAAGTTTCTTATTCAGTTCAGCACGAGTAGCTGAAGTCGCGCATGATCACTTCAACAGCTTTCCAGGAAAACTACTCAACGACCTTCTGTTTACATAAGAGGTATATTTCTGAGAAAAAATGTAAATATATTCACAGTTATTGTGCTTATTTTAGCTCCAGCATGGGGGGATTATATTCTGAACGAGAAGAAACTTCGTGACTTCGTCGAAGGATTTCATGTTTATATGTCAAAGACAAAGACTCAAGGCAAAGACTGTTCGGTTCGTAAGCGAATGAAAAAGAACGTTAAGAGGAACACATATATTAACCCAGTTGTGTGTTGTTCTTGTTGTTTTTTACGCCATGTTATGTTGTGACAAGAAGTGTTTCCGTGTCTTACATCACGTCATCACATTACCCACGTCAACATGGGGTCAGTCAGACTTGTAAATTGATTATTACACAATTAAGAATGAAGTCGATGTGATGGAAAGCGTTGTGTCCATTTCCGTTTTCGGAAACAGGATCCGAAAGCAAACAACAGAGAGAGGTTATACCATTTAGTTTCTGCATTCACTTGCGTATATCATTACCATAGTCTAATAATTTTAACGTAATGAGCGGCTCAAAGATATTATCTAGCCATCAGTTGATGATTGTCTGCTTTTTCATAGCATTTTCGTATGAAAATATACAGTTTGCTGACACTAGGGTTTACTAACTATTGTTTCTCATGACCGTTTCAAAATGAGCCTAATTATAGTTGACTCCGATCAAAGGTGTGTTGTCTTAAAGTATAGGAGGCCATACACAAAAATGACGTGTTAATCAGCAAAAGGAGGTGCATGAGGATTGCACGGATGGATTCTTTCTAAGGCATCCCACGTTTGAAGAGCAAACATCAAGAAACTCAAAATTGCTTTTATTCCACTTCAATTTGGATTGTTTTTTAACACCTCTACCTCAACTATCTCATCAGTGTCTGACAGGAAAAGAATTCAGATTGATTACAATTCAGACTTTTTCCCGATTTTCTCTGCCTCCTTTATCTTCTCCGAGGTACTGAAAGAGATAGAAAGTAAACGATATTTCTTTGTCATCCAAGGTAAACCAGAAATAGCGAGAATACATGTATGTGGAGGCTTCCTATGTAGTTTGTATCACACATTGTGAAAACGTTTTTTCAAGCATCACATACAGACATATACATATAGTAAAAGCTATGGGCATTTAAAAAAGAAAAAAAAAAAGAAAAGAAAAGAAAAATATATAGTGTTGGTTAAATTGCATACCGGCAGCAGCATTTGTTTGTAGAAAATGGACAGTGCATTTCGTCTCGGCAGTCAATCGGTATGTCCGGTGGACACGGATCATCAATATAAGTACACACACCCTTCGGCCAGTCGCATCTCGGAACATCTGTGAATTCGAAGGATTTGTCCGTAAACATTAAATTTTTCAAAAGCGACTTAACGTAGCCATAAGTATTTATTCTTGTCTAGTTAGCTACTCTTGGAATAAAGGTACAACTCATCTTCTCCAGAGCTCCCATAACGGCGTAGGTGTAAAATTTTTATAAGACAACATCACAAAAATTAGATTTATCTTAAAGCAAATCCCGTTAATAGTTCATATACTTTAAGTTAAAATAGACATATCTAGATCTTTTGAAAAGGTGATGGCAAGAAGGAAGTGTTATTCGGATAAAATCAAGAGAGGACCTTATTCTCCCTTGAATAAAATGCAATATGAGATTAAGAAGAAAGGGGTGGAGATGGGTTGATGGCTTACTCGAAGAATGGAGTCGGTATCTCACGATTACATCTGACGATATCTACGTCTTTCGTACGTAAATGGGGAACTAGTGGCAACAATGCTTGAAAATAAAAACGTTTTGTTACTTTAGTGACATGTATTATTCACAACGAGATTGCCAAGAAATTATGGAGTTTATGATTAGCCACAGCTGACCTGAAGGTGTCTCACTTGCATTCCATAGATTCATGACGTTCGCGAACATGTCAAGACACAGCTTTCTCAGAATCTCAAAATATTTAAATAGATTTGCTAAGGGTTGTCTGTGACTTACGTGGCTTTGGTTGCGGATACCGGCAGCAGCATTTGTTTGTTCCTAATGGACAGTACATCTGGTCTCGGCAGTCATATGGTATGTCCGGTGGACACGGATCATTAACATAAGTGCACACTCCTCTTGGCCAGTCGCATCGCGGAAGGTCTGTGAATTTGAGTGAATCTTGTTTTGGAAAATTCACGATATGAAAATCTTATCTTAGACCAAAATTATCAAGAAATTAAATATGTTTTTAAGAAACGACTTAGGCGCAATTTGGTTTTCAGCGCTCGCATTCTGAGAGTTATTTCGATTCTTGCATACAAAGCGACTTGTATACAGGAATGTAGTGACCATTTTAAAGAAAACAAATCTCCACGTTTTCAAATGAATTTTCAAGTTATGTTTTAAAATCAGCTGTCGCTTACTTGGATCATCAGAACCATCCACAGAGATCGCCAAACCGATCAGCGTAAAAATCAACAGCTTTGCACCCATCACAAAAGCGAAACAGAAAGTGCAACGAGAGTGGAAATCTATAAAAAAAGGAAAAATATATAAAGTGAAGCCCAGTTACTCTATCACTCTTGATAAATAAGCTCCAAACATACCGATATTCTTGACAGAAATATTGCAGCACCGTGAACTCAAGGATAAACAGCACAAGAAGCTGAATGTATCTCTTCCCGAGATGCGAAGAAATGGCAACTGATATGCAAGCTTTGTAGTTTTATTGCTACTCTCAGTCAAGGCAGGTCTCTGCATGTTTCAATCTCGTGATCATACATGTCTGATAACTGATTCTCGATACCCTGGTTAAGATAGGATAGAATTTCCAGTCTAAAATTAGTTGCCAAAAATTCGATATTTAGTCAAGTCGTTCCTCGAGAAAATTGTTTTTGGCAGGCTCACCTGAAAGTTTCACTGAGCGTTATTAAGAAAAGCTTGTTCTCTGAAATCATTTCTTTTCTTCGTTTCTCGTATCTAACCATTTTCAAGCTAACAGTTTACACAAAATATCTTTAATTTCTTAGAAACCCTTTGAACTTTACCTGACCCGTTGTGTAATCTTCATCCAAACAAGGATGGAAAAGACCTTTGCTTTAATGTTCTTTTGTTTCAATAAAAAAAATGTGTCAATCATCCATTAAGTACAGGGGCTTAATTCGAGGTGATTTGACTGAACCATTTCGGCTTATAGTGTCTATCAGCAGCGTTTCTTTCATGACTTCAAGGGTTTGATTCGACTGTTATTTTGCCATATCCTTGCCTACCTCGAAGTTCGAAAGTAAAAGTATTTTTTTTTCGCATCCAGTCCTCTCGTGCGCATGATTTATCTTCTTTTCGAAAGTCAATGATAATGCCCCATGTGTTGACATTTCGAGCACCGTGATCTCAAAGTGGTTGTTTGCAACTGAGGGGAAGAGATCATCTTTAAACGTGTTTTCATGCGGACGACAGAGGCACTGAGTGGCAGACTGGATTACCTTCAGATGAACTGCGTACTCAACGAGTCTTGAGATTTCTAAGAAGTATATTCGCGTAACCTGACCCGTTGTGTAACCTGCGCACCGTAAAGTTGGCAAGCATCCTGAATTTTAGCTACGTTTGTATCATCAGAAGAAGTATTTCAATCACACATCCAGCACCGCAGCCAGGTTTCCCATTGTAACTGTGATAAGCGCCTTATTTGAATACGACAAAGTTTTTCAAAGTTAGTGACATAATAATTCCCAGAATAAATCTTTCAGAAACTGTTTTAATAGTTGTCTACCTTTAATTTGCCCCTTCTTTGCAACAAAAAAGAGATAATATCTCTATTCTCATCTCAGTTAATGCCTTTCCAAAGCCTCATTACTGAAACAAATTTTTAATAACACATCATGCTTTTGCAAGTAGGTGATCCGTGACTTTTGGAAGCTTTGGGAGCAGTCTCACAAAATGAGACCGAAGACAACTCAAGATTAACTTCAGTTCTTTCTGTCGCTCCTTACCTTCAACACGCAAATTTCTCTTTAAAGTTTATCTAAACATCGATGAACAAAAATTAACAAAATCTATTTTATGTACAAACCCAACACTATTTTCAGTCGTTTCGATTGTTTACGTTCTGATGTGAAACACGAGTCGTGGGAGCAGCTAAAGGTCATTCACTAATTGTTTAATTAGATTTAAAGATTGTTGCTTTCCACACAAATATTTATAAGCGACTGCGAGACGCACGTTTTTATAAAAATTATCGACATTGTCCTTCAAACACTATATTTCAAGGTGAAATGATTTCAAGTTTCTAAGTTTCGAATTTTTTTTCGATTGTCGGGCCTGATAACTAGTGCCTGCGCAGAAACACCGGAAGAGCCATTTCGGAAGATAGACGACGAAATGTACGACTCAATTCAAACTTGGATTTTCTACAGAACGCTTAAGTAATAAAATTCTTGACCCGTTATTTTGATGATTACATGTCTTACTGTTAACATATATATTTTTATGGAGCCTTTGCACATTTAGTGTTATTTACGGACAAAATACCATGCAGAAACGTTACAACGCGGGAGTTTATGTGCATCGGCTGTAACCTAACTGAGGATCAGCGGACTACGGAACCTCCGGAACCTGCGGAACCCATAATTTCTTTCTTTTTAACTAGCGAATTGCGCGCATACGCAAGAGCGAGTAGTAGATATGATGTGGCGAATGGCACTCGCTCGCTGGCTCGCTCGATTGGTCAATTCCTGTAAACTTTTTTTCGATTTTAGGCTTTTGAGTGCATTTGATAGTTTTTGGTGAGCAACGAACAAACGAAATGGCGACCTTTGTTGCTAAGAATTGTGGTGGCGTGAGAAAGAAGCCAATGATAATTTTAAAAGAGTTTATTTTTTTCGTTTTAGTTTCAATAAGCCGCGCCAGCGACTGGCAGGCGTGCGAGGATTCACACTGAAATAGGAGAACAACCTTCGTTTTTCATAAAATTGTAGTTTACAATCCTTGAACTTGAAAACAATCCGATGATTCATTAAAAATATCACTTACTCCGAAGCGCTCGGAGGTTACTGGTGTTCAAAAGCTTTTTCTGTTATGGCGTGAGATTGGGGACAAAATCGATCATTACATTTCGTATCGTGTGTTTTTTCTGTGTGAAGCAACAAAAGGTGCCGGCGACTGACGAAATTACAAGTTAACACGAAAATCAAATAACTACAAAACAAATAATTTTGGCTACCGATTTTCAGTTAATTTTTAAAGAACATTTTTTTTTAAGTTTCAAAACAATTTGAAGATTCAAAATAAATATTACGTACCGAAATTCGAAAGTTATACACCACAAAATTGATAAATAGGCCTGAAATGAAATTCTTACTTGTTCTTGATTATACGTTGCCTAGCACGTGACCAAAATCTACCCAGGCGGAAATCCAAAATGACGGTGGCAGGACGTAGTTATATCACTCAAAACTCGTTCCTGTTTGTCTCATTTGATAAAGAGGGAATCATTAATGTTACCATTAAGACAGTATTGCCTTGATTTTCCAATATTTACAGTGATAGACAGTTAATTTCACTTTTCACCCTCATTTACTTCCAACCTTTCCTTTTGAACCAAAAACAAAAATGTTATATGTTTAAAACACATGACATCATCCACCCTTGTCAAATGTATTAGCATAATCATTTCAATTGCAATGCCTTCTTATCCCAACGTTACTTTGTTTCTTTGCTACATCAGCGAACACTGAACTACTGCTCGTACTCTAAATATGACAATCAACCACAAAATTCCTTAAACCAGATAACATTAAACATGATCCACAAAATCATGCGAGTCATCTGTCAATTCACGAGTTTGCTCACAGAGAACTTTGATTATAAAAAAGTAGTAATAAAATAAAATAAAGAAGATTACATTAACAGACATATCTTTTTAACGTCCTTGACGTCCACCTAGAAGCATTTGACATTAATTGTAGTGGTATTCACCGTGATCTAAAAAACCCGCGTGAGAGAAACTCGAACCATCTTTGAAAGCTCTGACGGTTTGGTTACCGTGATATTCGAATAACGCCTCAGCATAAGAATATGATCTTCAAAATCGCTGCGATTTATCTCAAAACAGATAAGGGTTATCAACACGCTAAGGGTTATCAACACGACTTTCATTATCTGTGTTTTTAGATCTTCGCCCAGGACGTAGCAATATTTTCTACTTATTACTTGCTTTCGCATTAATGGCTACGAAAACTTTCGATAAATTTTATGGCTACTGCCTTCTATGAGGCGAAGCCATGGTGTTGTCTTGTTGAGTGAATTAATAATTATTTTAAATATACCACAAAGATACAAAAAAGTTGCTCTATTCTTTCAAAATACCAAAAAAAAGGTAGGAAATTGAACTCTTGACTCGCGCATTTGTTTCATCGGCTGCTCAAAGATGAAAAGTACTTGCTATTCACCTTCGAACTAGCTAATCAATTTCAGTTCTATAACTATAAATAGGTTAAGCGATACTACAGGGCAAAATATTCCTTTACATGTTAAATGCACTCTAATTCTCTACTTTTAGCAAGATTATCATCTTTACTCTCTCATTAAAACGTTGCATACCTTTCTTAGGATTTCCCCTTCCAGTTTAAGCACGTTTACTTCTGGGAAACTTTGTTTTGATAAATAAAGCCAACTTTTCTAGACTAGTGAGCTTTTCATTCCGATTCCTTGAGTATTACATTTTCTCTTATTGACAGCTTATGCCACATAACAATGAAATGAGGGTCACCTGAGGTACCTCTCCAGCAGCTATCGCAAAGGACATTTCAGCAAAGGAACTTATCGATTTCCTGTTTACTTGGATCAATAGTAATGCTTGTAAGGTTTAAGTCTCCTTCGTTTTGAAAAGAACCGAAACAAGTGTTGCTTAGAGAAGTGTCACTTCGATAGGACCAAGTCAAATTGAGCCCGGTATGTATTCCAGGGCCAACGTTCGCGTCGTAACTTAATGAGGCATTCACAGTGACGTTTTGCTTGGACCCCAACCGTTCACTGCTTTCTCCACCAATAATGTAATGGCTCGCACGGGAGCTGCAATAACCTCGATGAAGCCATAATCAAAGGCATTGAGAACTTTGGGGGATGCTAGATCTCCGACTTCATATGTAGCATTGAATTTGACTTGATAGACGCAGCAGGTATGGATCGTTTGTTTTTCGTCCAATCCGTTGTCCCTTGACCAACTTTAGTTCTTATGCTGACTCAGAGGCAGCTAGCTTCATTTCACGGTTAAATCTTTATTTAGACCCTGTATCAGGGCTTTTTGGACACTTTTGGCTAAACGCTGCCGAGGTGTGGCCTAATACTTGTCTTTTCAAATGTTTCTGATGGTCACTGAAAAATCTCCTGAGTATAATATAGTTAGTTTTTTTGCGTCATTCTTCCCCCTCAAAAAAAAACAAAAGTTGATAAGATGGGTTTAATTCCTGATGAATTGACCTGTTTTACATCAACGTTAACACTATGAAATAGCCCTATGCTTGACATTTCTACGATCTGTGACGAATGCCCGTTTAGATAAAACTGTGCCTTTTACGTTATTCCTCGTGTCCGAGCGGTTCTAAGACAATAAACGGATGGTAGAAAAGACTTATCAGCTGAATATTCTTTTATTAAACTTTGACTTAATTCTTACCAACGTACTCACAATATATTCTATGACCAATGTAGTTTTTTCGGCACTCACAGGGATCCCGAATTGTTAAAACAGTGAGCAATGCAACGCCATG